TCAGAATGGGGGTTCACTTCGATTCTCTCAACATTGAATCGGATGAACTGGTATTGTAATGTAGAAATCGGATATGCTGTCTCACGGGTCAATGACGTTTGCTGTTGTTGTTGAAACAATGGTGGTGACGGTGAAAGTTTTTTGGTACTTTCGACGAGTTGATTTTTTTGATAATTGACAACTAATTGTAAAAATTTCGTAAGAATTCATAGGTTACAATTATCTTAATATAATGACACGGACCATTAATGTCTTCAAAGAGTCTGGGCTCATCGAAATCATAAGGCTCGTCATCACTTTTGAAACTATTCATTTTCTTCGCGTTTTAATAAAGATAAAAGTTACAATAAAGACAATAGTAAAAGTCGAAAATAACAAAGCAGAATATCTTGTGGCTCAAATGTTGCGCGTAGAAGTTTTCTTCTGAAATAGCAGAGTAAAATACCGAACTAAAAGACATAAAATCTTCAATATTTAAAAATATTAAAAATCCGAGTAATTAATCAAAGCTAAAAATATTTCTTGCGGTTGCATTATCTATAAAAATTGCGTGTATCAATTATTTAATCTACAATGCATGTACGTATGGTGTAGGTGTGTTTCTATTAAATGTAGCTATACTAATTGGCGAAAGATAATTGGCTTAAAGTTTGAACCCTGCAAAAAAGCAGGAAGGATACCAACAATAATGGAAAATTATTTTAGCCTTTGCAACAATTTTCAAGCTTTGTGTAAAAAGAAGATGAATACGTCATGGCTCGATTTAACGATTACGGGATTTAACAGAAAAACGTGAATTAAATGTTCTGGTGAAAATCCGATTATTCGTTTAATCGTATTTTCTAAAGCCAAGATTGCTGCAAGCCGCATCGAAGAGTTTCTGCTTGTTTCACGCTCATCTAACGGCGATAATGTGGAAAATAATAGGTAATTAATTTAGCCAGACGCAAAATTTTAACATTTAAACAGTTTCTTTCATAATACATGTAGATCTTTTGCTTATAGATCGCTCGTGACAAAAATTAATAATTTATTTATTTAATATTTTACTTATTTTTGCTCGTAAACAAGCAGCGTAGCGCAGAGGAAGCGCGCGGGGCTCATAACCCCGAGGTCGGAGGATCGAAACCTCCCGCTGCTATTATTTTTATTTTTGTTCCACATGCACACACAAATATCGTGTTACATGTACTACGGTTTGATCATTCTAATAAATAATGAATCTTGATATAACGAAAAAATTCATTATATCATGAGTTTATTACTAAATTCACTATATTATAAATGGATCTGGAACTCAAATTCATTATATGCCGAGTTTAATTAGTATTCGTTGCTACATCCAGATTGACTATGTACATAAGGTAAATCCAGCTATATTCGGACACTATTATAAATTCAATTAAAAGATTATTAACTTTCTTAGATACATAAGAAAATTTATTTTACTATTCAAAATATTTTGCATATTTTTCCTTTTTGTTTAATAAGATCTATTAAAAAC